ATTGAATTAAATATTTGAGACCTCTAAAGTGTAATGAATTTGTATGAAATAATCAGGTAAAAAGCAATACATTCTCAATTGAGGCAAAGGTCATTATCCCTAAAATTTAACAACAAAAGAGAACATTAAAAAAATGACCACTTTTTATATGAAAAAGTACATGCCATCTATAGAGTATTATATAGAAAACTCTACACATATGTCTTTTCAATTACAATCTTCCTAATCTCATTCAACTAAAATGTGAAAAGAAAATAGTTACCTCAATAAACACTTTAACATTGAAAGTAACATGTGTACTCAAACTTATGTAAATGCATACAAATAAAATATCTTCAAAGATTTCAAAATTTATATCATGTTCATAGACATAGAAGAAATTTAAACTTTTTATAGTCATTGAAAATGTTACTTATATATCAGGTATTCTATATGGAAGTGAAATTGACTTATAACCACTTTTTCTAAAAGAAATAAACTATCTTTACCATGCAAGTATTCAGCTAATATATTTCCTTTTTCACCTTTATTCCTCCAGAGTATTTCTTCAATATTAACACAGGGTAAGAAAGTGCTTACACGTATTTAAATGTAATTTGTTCAAGAAGTAACAAATGGTAAAAAAGTATATAAACATGTGCAGAAAAATATCGATAAAGTGCTAAAGAATTAACTATGGAATTAACTATTAAGCAATGAAATACTATACACTCAACACTTCATGCCAATATTACCATTTTCATATTTTCCTAACATGAAAAATTTCTTTTTTTAGACCCATTTAAATGTTTCTATGTCACATAAAAGTCACCACTACTTCTGAAAGTATATTCAAAAAGTGGTGAAAAATACTTATGTTTAAATTGATCATAAATATAGTGATTTAACAATTGCAAAACCATGGTAAATATTTTTATCTTCCACATTCAGTTATTTTTTATTATATTCAAAATGATCTCAATATATTACTGAAAAAGAAGGTAGTGCAGTCATATGGTAATACAAAGAATTTATTCTTTTGAGGGATAGGTTACAGAGTAAAGAAGAAAACAAGTACTCTTATCTGATGGAGATTTATTAATAAACTTATTTTTGAAAGAATATTTGTCACTTAACTGCTTCAAACTAAAACAATTTGCTATGATACAGGAATTTCTATGCCATTTGGTAGCAAACAGGATGAATTATATAAATGGTCCAAAACAATACTTTGCTTTCTATTAATTACTTCACCTCATAGAAACCTCATATGAGCTAAACATTACATTGTACCTCTGAAAAGCAGAAAATGCAAAATCTATTATCCTACTTCTATAATGCAGTAGAAAAATAGGAAAATTAATTACATGATAATATACATCATTTTTTCAATTGACTGCTTTTAGAATCTAGCATACAAAGGAGGTTCCATACTTCTGTGTTCATATGTGTCAAACTTTAGCATGTTTATTTGAAATAAAATACGAGGTCAGACTTTATGATATAGGTAAAGGCAATTTAATTGCCTGGTTTAATGAGGCCTGGCTTTGCTATTCAGCTTTCAGGACAGATTTCATTCAAAAGTTGATCAGTTTAACTTGCACATTCACTTATATAGAATGAGCATTTTGATAAACTTTAGCTTCTGGTATTGTATCTCTGGCCTCGGGTGTTTAATGGATCCTACTCCCCATGAATGGAGCAGATACATTCATACTTTGAATGATTTGAAAACTGAAACTCCTACATGACCATTTCTTCAAAAGTAAAATCATACTAGAGATGCAAGAGGGTAACAGAAAGTAATAAGAATTTAAAACTGTAAGATACTGATGAGGGAGGAGTTTTGAGTGAAAACATGAAAATCATCATTTACTTGATGTGTGAATAACTAGCATAGAGTCTAGCATATCTGAACACAGTTCACAGAGTTAAGAAAGTGGAGGAACTCAAGTTATAAAATTAGTAACTTGAAATTCCAACTCGCTAAAAATGAGGGCAAAATAAGAGGATGTTTGCCTTTATGTCAGGTAGTGTGTGTCACTGTGTGTGTGTGTGTGTGTCCTTGTAGTAAAGGAAAGAAAGCAATGCTTGGTAATAGATTTGAGATAAATAAGATGAATGATGAATTTTGAAAATATTAGATTTAGATAGGAAAATATCAGGTTATGGAGAGCTTTAAATGTAAACTTCAAATATCTGGATGTTGATATTTAGGAAATACAGAGTAAATGTAGGTGGCTGATTTGAGCAATGGGTAAAGAAATAGGATGAATAGGAAGAAAATATTTGTAATTTGGTTTAGGTTCTTATGCTGGCACAGGGTAATGCTAGCAGAGAGAAAAGAATAGAAACACTAGAGTTATATTTGGGAAACAACTGAGTGTACAGACTATAGTACATTAATTAGCATAGCTGGAGATTTGGGATTAATGTTTAAATATTATTTATGTGTAAAATACTGATTTACCTCTGAAGAAATTTCTGAAAATGACAGTAAATTTGTAATGCATATATTATCTTCAGTTCACTCTATGTATCAACCAAACATTAAATTTTTAACTTTCTTCTCATAAGGCACAGAGAGATAGATAGATTTTTACGGTTCAGCATATTACTGGAATTGGGACTTTGTTGAGGCCAATTCATCTAAAGAGGTTTCTAAATGATCAGCATAATAAATCCGTTATGTAATACAATGTATAGCTGTTAAAGGCACATGGAAGCATTGAGCAAGGCCACCTAATGCAGGCTGCTTACTGGAAAAGATTATATGTGACTAAACCATTTTCTTTTATCAAAGAGAAATTCACATAAAACAATTATTTTAAATCACATAATTCAGTATATTCGCAATCTTGTTTTACTACGTCTCTAGTTTTAAAAGTCTTTCACCCCTCAAAACACTGTACCCATTAAGTGTAATTATTTCTTGTTACTTCCTATTCCTTGGTAACCTCTGAACTGTTTGCTATCTCTATAGATTTGTCTGTTATAGAAATAGTACAAAATAATCTTATATATGTGAATTTTATATCTGACTTATTTCATGCAACGTTTTCAAGTTTTGCTCAAGATGGCAGCATGTATAGTATGCAGTTTAAAATCAACATATTTCTTTTTTTGCTCACACACTTCCAGTAAGGCTCAAATAATAGGATTGAAAAGGCTTTCAGAAATGGAAAAAAGAAAAGAAAGGATACATGTGGCTTAGTATACCTGTAGTCCCAACTACTCAGGAAGCCGAGGTGGGACCAGAAGGATGGAAAATTCAATACTCAGGGACAGCCTGGGTAACTTAGTGATACATCTCAAAACAATAAAAATTTAAAAAGGGCTGGGGATGTAGCTCTGCAGTCCCTGGTCTCAATCCTCAGTAATGCAAAAATAACACACACACACAAAACAAACAAACAAACACACCAGGATTTGTGGGTTTATCTACAGTTCTTTTTGTACAACCATATCATTTTAATATTTTCTTCCAAAGTGTCACAAAGGGCATCTATTGGGACACAAAGATGAAAAAGCTTATATCCTTCACAGCATAGTAAAACTAGTGAAGTTTAATGTTATCGCAAGTTGACTTGAGAACTGATATTTTGTTAGTTATTTTGAACACTACTGTGAAAATATAGTCAATAAATGTTTTAAGCACAGTAAACATCCTCTTTAAATTTCACTTATTTCATTTCATCAAACATCCTCTTTAAATAATTTATAAAACACTAAATTTAGAACTCAGGTAGGTTCTAATTCAAGGCAATACTATTAACTAAGTATATAAAGCAAGTTCTTCCTGAGTCCTTAACTACTTCAGCACATTTCATTTTCTATCTTTGTGAACATCAAAAAATCTTTTATTAGGTTCTTGACCTGATGCTACAGGCTATTTAAGATATTAATCTAGGAAGCTGAAATTTTAGTTACAAGTTACATGATGAGATTTTTAGGTAGAGAGCATATTAGAAAAGATAAAAGAGAATAATCTTAAAAGCCCTATTTTTAAGTATTCAATAAAGCACTAAACATATTAATTCAAATATAACTTACAAAACAAGATCCAAAATTCTTTGCTTCAGCAATATTTGATTCCTAGTTGAAAATAGATTCCTATAATGAATTTCAATACAAGCAATGAAAGTCTTATTTAAAGCAAACTATTATCAGTGAAATTTCATTTTAAGAAATTTCCTACAATGGTTGTATTTTGTCCTTTCTTTAGAGGTCAAAGTTTTACATTTTTTTCAACATTAAGTCACCAGTAGGTAGGTCTTATCATGTTTAAAATGGACAATGATATTAATATTTAGGGCTTTTGAGAGGAAAGATGACTCTACCAGGTGACTCATCTGTAAGGCTCCTGGAGATACTCGAGAGCCGTTTTTTTCTCTGGCCCCATTTCCATGAAAATGTTATTGACTTAAATACTATATTCATTCTGGAATTATTGATTTTGACATTTAGCAAAAGAAAAAAAATCCAAAAAACAAAAATGAAACATTTTGATCAACACTAATGAATTATAATTTCTACTCATACTGAACTGTGAATTTAAAAAATGAAAAACCTCAGAATTACTCCTAAAATGAGAAGCCTGAAGAATGAAGGTAAAGTTTTAAAATTATGGGAAAATGTTATTTTCAGAAAGATGGAATCATTTTCTGCTAGGAATCATTTGCTTTTTGAAAGCAAGATTAGCTTGAAGTGATGGTAATATTCATATATTAATATACTTTAAATTCTATTGAACTACCACAGTAAGATTTTAGTAAGAGGTCTGGAGTGTATTTATTTTACCGCTTTTCTGCCTCATAAGGAAAAAGGAAGATTATATATGGTTCATTTCTTTTGTAGAGAGCTAAATTCACAGGACAAGATTGAGAAATAAGGCTGGACAGTTTCTCTACTACTCTGATACAACTCGCATTCAGGACACAGTACTAACAGTGACTCAACATTTATTTTATTAAGCATTGTCTGTAAAACGTGCACAATTAAAAAAATGAGTCCAAATAAAATCATTTTTCAAAATTTTATTATTACCATTTAGCAATGAGAAGATGCAGTTTATTTACACCAGCAGCCATAGTAGTTAGGGGAACACATAAGAGTTAATCAGCTATCTGTATAAGATGGATTACTTATGCAAAAATAAGAATCTCCAAAATAAAGAACAGTGGTAAGTTTCACACTACCCTCCCCTAAAGATTCCAGCATGCGATAATGCCAGGCAGTGGCCCCTGGGCATGCGGCATTAGGAACTAGTTATGGGGAAAAAAAGCCACAAACCACAAAAATTTTAAAGAACCCCTTTCCCCTATACACACATACACACTCAGATACGTAATAGGATTATAGAGTGATCAATACAATTAATTGAAAAGGGAAGGATAGAAATTCTGAGGTTACAGGGAAGGCAGATAGGGAAAGGGAGAGTTCCTAACCACTGTCAACTATACTGTAGGAAACATTATCTCCTTTAAAAAGTAGTGTGTCCCTTCGGGGCACCTGCTGAATCCAGGGACTGAGCCCACTTTAATTATACCTTTCCAGGGCAGGGTGCTATTGCCCTAATGTTGGTAGTGTTGGGGAAAAAGAAAACCAAAACCGGAAGGAAGTAATGTGAACAAACCTTTTCTCAAATCTGCTTCCCACACCTTCCTCCTCTAACCAGAAGTATAGATGAGAAAGGAAACACTCATGATCGGACTGCCCTATATAAAAGAAGAGTGAGTGTGCCCTTGCCCTTCTCCCTTATTCATCGCCTTTCCAAAACACTATTTGGAAGTAGGCCAATGTCTCACTCCCTTCCCTTCTGAATTCTCTTAGGAGATATCGTTAAAGTCTAGGGCAAAAATAATTCCAAATTATTCCTGCCAAGATTTGATTTTCTGAAAAGTTCCCACAACTCTTAGATTGAAGGTCAATCTGTAATGAGGACCTAGTCGTGATCAGGACAAGTCTAGGGGGAGAAGGCAATATAGTCTCAAGGCCCAATTGCTCTGGTTTCAACTCTCTAAAATACCTAATCCAAATCAATCCAGAGTCCAAATAGTTGCTTCTGAGATAAAGCAGATACATACACAGCAAAAGTAAGAGAAAGTGGATCGACCAACTCCATCCTTGTATGTATCAGTCTTCACTGTTCTACTTAGCTCCCAAGAGGCAGTACCCCAAAGGAGATGGGATAAAACTCATGAAAACAAAGCAGGAGGGCCTACTAGCAAGGCAGTCTCAAAGAAATGCATAGGCAGGACACTGCCTTGTAAATACAAAAGTTTCTAAGTTCTTCCCATTCTAATCCAAACAAGGGAGCCATAAGAAAGATTCTCCCCAAAAACACAGGAAAAAAGAAAAAGTACAAAATTAACAAGCCATGGAAGATAAATTGGGCAGACTTCAGAAGCATGAAGAGAGATGAACTGAAACTGGTCAAGGTGAAAGCTTAAGTGGCAAGAAGCACCTGCAGTCATGAGCTGCACCAGATAGGCAGTGGAGTAGTGGACAGGAACAGGAACATGGGGCCAAGCCAGTGGAGGCTGGGCCCTTTACTGGGGCACAGAATGAGGTAAGAAAACATTTCAAATAAAGCAGCACCGTTCTGTTCACCTCAGGACTCCCACCCACCTACACTTTATAAACTCAGGGAGTAAACTAGAGGGCAGTTTTGATATGCAACTCTAGCTTTCCATCCTCCTGTATCCCATTCCCTAAAGCTAGGGGATTGTGGAGGTCTCTTCCTTACTTCCAAAAACAAAAAAGGACAGCTCTTGCTGTCAAGATGGTCCAAAGGGGACCGAGTGGAAAGGATTACTCCTTATAAGGGGCAGAGAAGGTGGTGGAGAGTCTGGATGTTCACCATTGCAGAGTCCTGACTGTTCAACTAAAGGAACAGAAGCATGTAACAGGATTCTGCACACAGGTAAGAGATGACCCAGTTCAGCTCCTTGGTTCCTAGCACTAACTCATTCACATTATTAAGGGCAGCTGGAAGAGATTCCTTCCAAGCTCAGTTTCCAAAAAACTGCCTCCTGCACGGATATTCTATCTTCTATATTTCAGTCTTGACCAAGTTGGACCCATGGACTGGCTAAGTAACCAGTAACTCAGAGTAGGAAAGATATGCCCATACTAAGCTTACGTCCATGGTATAATATGTCCACAAATCTTCCAGTATGAGATGGTGCACACTGTAGTTGCAGAGGTCCCTATTACCTCTCCACAGAATCACAACTGAATCCTCAGCCTGTCTGTACAACTTGTTCTATGCCAAGCCTATATCGCTGGGTGGGAGGAAAAGAAAGAAGTCTCTGCTCAACCAAAGTTTAGGCCTTGTCCCCAAATCTGTTGAAATCATTGCAAATCCTGGACTTTTGGATAACAGGTGATTCTGAGCTTTTCTTCTTGCAGTCAAGGCCACAGAGGTTCCCTACCAAATTCAACGGGGAATTTTTTCTTGGTTGTTTCAAATTGATACTATCAGTATCAGGATCTCATACCTGACTTCCATTTGTATCAGAAAACCCCAAATTAGAGGCAGCAGTCCCACTGATGCCAATTTAAGTCCACACTGTCCAGGAAGCCCCTGACATCAAGCAGACAGTCTGAAGAACAACAGGACTTTATATGCTGGACACACAACTGCTCACATGTGCACGGAGGGCAGCACAGGGATCCTGTGTATATTCAGATGTGTTTAAGTGATCCCCAGGTTGTGCACTTTCTCCTGCCCAGGCTATCAGAGTTGGCCCTAGACAAATTTTTTAAAAAGCATCCGAATTTCAAAGTTCTCCACTTTAGGTTTTTTAAATGCTAGGATCTTCAAAGGAATATTGAGGCTTTTGTCTGATGTTTTCTCTTTCTTTCTTTTCTTTTTTTTCCCTCTTATCTACTTAGCTTAGTCTTTCAAGCCACAGGACCAGTCTCTATTATTGTCCTGGTCACTCCCAGACTCTCTCATGTTGCACCTACTGGAATTCTGGAGGAGAGCGCTGCAGCTGCTGATCAGGCCCATTCCCTGGTTCTCCAGGAAGGGAGCAGAGCGGGAGGCGGCATGCTCCTTTGTCTTCCACTGGCTGAATGCCAAAATCCTTCACGCTACCAGTCTCTGCGAATTCCAGGTAGAAGTAGCCACATTTGACTGCCCGGTGCACCTCAAAACAGAATCCCAAACAGGAATCCTCTATCAGGTCTACGTATATCTCCTGAGCGATGGCCTCTAGCTTGTTAGTATCCAGATTAGCCAACGAAATTTCCTCCATCTTAATTTGTAAACGACTGTGCAGAGGGCGTTCGTTTTACTCACGGCAGCTACACGTCAGGGTCTACTGGCCGCGCCTAGGCCTAGAGGCCTCTCAGGCCGCGTCCTCCGGCAGCAGCGGAGACAGTGGAGTCTCAGGCAGCTGAAGCAGCGGCAACGGCGAGAGCTCGGGAACCCCACGTCTTTCGGTTTGTTTTGACGTTCTCGCGAATTCGGGGCTTTGAGCGGCGCCTGTACCAGGATTCACTGTCAGCCCTTCTGGGAGCCTCACACAGCAGCTAGGGCCTCTCCCACTCGCTGGCTGCTCCTGGCCCCGCCTCCCCGCTTCCGCTCCCAGCGCGCCTGCGTACCGACTCGGCGCAGACGCGCAGACGCTCCCAACGCTCAGCTGCCCTGGCGGCGTTTGAATTTATTAGAAGGAATGGGAAGAATTGAAGTATTTCTCAGTCTCATTATCGCCGTTTGTAAAAAGATCGCAGGATTTCATGTTACTTTATTTATAGATTTAGACATTCACTAATGAATTCCGGACCTATATTTTACTGATTCTCATCGGAAACGGGGAAAAATAAAGTGAACTATTGTGAAAGTTGAACTATTTTAGGAACAGTTCACATCCGTTTGAAAATTTGACTTATATGATTGACTTGTAATTATTTGTAGTGCTGCCGTGGTTGTCATTTAATCCAGTAGATGGTGCAAGGAAACAAATTATAGTTTATCTTTGAGGATTTTTGAATGAAGAATGTAGAAAGTAGGCACTAGCGCGTAATTCCTATACATTGATCAAATAAACCCGAGGCATTTATCTTACTTATAAGACCATTAAGTCAGTGTGTCTATAAAGAGATGATTATATGCATCTCTGAAAGAGTTAAAGGAAAAAATTATGTGTGTGTTCCATCTTGAGATCAAGAAAACCTGAAAGAAAAAATTGTGAGGACTAGAGCCAGCCTAGCCAAGTTTAATTCCTGCACCCAACACTCAACAATGCTCTTTCCTCTTTCGAATGAAACTGGTCCTTATTTCCCGGTGAAGATAATAAAGTTAAGCATCCTTTGGCAACAGTGCCTTACATATAAGTAAGGGTTCAGTAAATATCACCTCTTTTTAGTTATTTGCATGGGAACTCTAACATAAGCAAATTGAGATGAAATTTCCTGTATTTTCTGTTCATTATTTGAATCTCCACCACCGCTACTATGACATAAAACAACTTCTGTTATGTTTATAATTTATCAAAAAAAGTAGCTATAAATCAAGTAAAATGTAAAAATACAGTTACTGGTAGCTTTCTGAGTCAACATTTTCCAGAATAAAGGCGAGACAAGTATCTTTCCAAAGAGATGAGATAAATAAAATATACATGATCATCAAGACACTGTTATATGGTTTTAGAATTCATTCTGAATATTTCACTCTCTGCTTTCATGAGAATTACACTTAACTTGTGTTTTATCCTGTACTTGTACCCATGTAGATTTTAATTGAGTATTTCACAATTTTATAAAACAACAATTGGTGGGTATGGAGCAAAAGACTTAGATTTATGTAGAATGGGATTTTTTAAAAATCTAGGACAGTATTTGTAGAATTTATATGTTCTCCATTTAACAATTGGCATTGTTTGATACAAATTGGAATCAACACATAGCTATTTGCTAGACCATGTATTATAATGATCAACTTTGCAAGTTCTTGAGTTAGGCTTCCTCCTATTACTTACTGTCTTTGTGAACTTGCCACATCTCCATAACTTCTGTAAATCTGTCTTTTCATTGTAAAATCAATAGCAGTTACTGTCACGTAGATTTGTGATATTAAATATAAAAAGTCCTCAAAAGTGCCAATCAATTCCTCAAATGTGGAATATAATAGTGTGAATACTGTCACATATGTACTTATGTGAGAAAATACAGCTATAAATACAATCATTTCCACTCATTTCCTTCTATCTAGTCTTTCTCTAAATTTAATTTAAAGTGATACTTCTCAAACCATGTCCATGAATCACACAGAGACTTTTAAAATGTACATCATGATTCCATAGTTCTGGGGTGAAGTAAAGCCTGAGTTTCTGCATTTCTAACATATTTTAATTAACTGAACACACATTAAGTAGCAAGGATATAAAAGGCCTTGGTAGGAACAACTGTTCTTTTTTGGGGGGCGGGGGTTACCGGGGATCAAACTTGGGGCCTTGCACTTGCAAAGCAGGTAACAGAACCATTGAGCTAAATCCCCGGCCCCTGGAACAACTGTTCTTTATCATTCTTGACTCATGAAATTTGTTTTTAGCCAGAGTCTTTGTACTCTTGGTTTTGACTGAAAAGTATGAGCTGTTTTTGTCCCTTATGTCCTCCTTATATTGTGACAGTTGTATTCCAAGTCTGAAATTTAGGTAAAGAGGAACATACTTCAGTAAAATTTACCTCAAAATATATAGAGAAATTCATATTAATAACAATTAATATAATCAGAGTCATGGGTAGGTTTTAATTTCCTGTCAATATTTTATTACATTTAGAAAAGGAACACTACCATGACATCAAAACTTTGTACTATTAATTGTCACCTTGTCACTCTTATCATTCACTACATTTCCTTAGTTTATATTGTAATGTAGTGAAAGCTTTTATTTTAAATCAGTAACATACTACCAAGAAAAGTTACAAATAACTCATTAGTCCTGGAATAGATAGGGTGGAACTTATTTTTTTTTAAGAATTTTTTTTTTTTGGTACCGGGGATCAAACTTGGGACCTTGAGCTTGCGAGGCATGTGATGGAACCACTGAGCTAAACCCCTGGCCCTTTTTTAAGATTTTGAAGGTAAAATATTTTAAGATAATTTTTTGGTAACCATTTTCTTAATTTAAAGTGAGCAACATTGGCTATTTCTTCACAAAGGATCTTCAAAAAGTGTCTTAGAATATGAAGTGTGCAAATTTAAGGCAAGTAAAAGAATATATTGTGAAATTTTGTCTTTGATTATTCTTGTCCATTCAGTAATTGTAATATATTGTTTTGAGAGAATCAACTATTTCAAAGAAAACATTTAAAAATTTTTAAAGTTTTTCATTAAAGACTGAAGCTCTGTAAAATATATTTTAAGAGCCTGATACTTTTTCTGTTCATGTAAAACAGAATGAAATAGAGTGTATCAAGGATACACTTGGTGGTCAAATGACTCAAGTGACTGTCGTATTTCCGGTACTGATTTACCAAATGACTTTGAGCAAGATGAGGAATTTACTTTTTCACAAAAAACAAAGACATTCATGTTTTCCAAATATTTTTATATATTCATATAGAGAGAGAGGGGGCGGAGGAGAGAGGGTGTTAGTTTGGTACTCAGGATTGAACTCTCAGGGCCTTCACACTGAGCTACTATATCTCCAGCCCATTTTAAACTTTTTTATTGTGATTTTAGTACAGGATCTTGCTAAGTTGTGCAGGCTGGGCTCAAAACTTTTTTTTGCTACCCGGGATCAAACTCGGGATCTTCCACTTGCGAGGCAGGCGGCAGAACCACTGAGCTAAATCCCTGGCCCTTCAAAACGTTGATCCCCTTGCATCAGCCTCCCAGCATTCTAGGATTACAGGCTTGCAGCACCATGCCTGGCTTATTTTTTCTTACTAACAATTATCTCATTAGCTGTGATTTAAGTCACAAATAAACTATGGAGATTTATGTGTGTCCTAACTCAACTGTAAATTCTAGTACATTGTTCTAGGAATAGCTGGTTTATATGCTGAAATCAATTTTTTAGGATTTACATTTAAAAAATTGATTGTCATTGGTTTACATGAGATACAGAGCTGCCACACGATGAGATCAGAGTGTCATGCTTAAATTTAAATGTCTGAGATTAGTATATGATTTGAATCTGCTCTGCTAATCAATGAAATCAAGGCAATATCCAGAAATTTGGTATTTATGACAAATCCAAATGATGATCTCCTAAAAAGAAAGACAAAATAATCCTAAACTAACAGTAGTTAGTAAGTAGAATGTTATGCTGAGCCAAAATAACAATTTTAGTAGAGTAGTTAACACAGTAAAATATTTTAAAATGTTGGTCTTTTGTTACATCAATTCTTCTGAACCAGTTCAATCAACAAAAGACCTTCAGAGGATTTATTTCCATACATTTCTTATATACAAGCTTATGATTTTAAAAATATTTTTAAAGTATTTATAGCATTGCCTCTGAAGATTATAAAATATTCTTAAACAAAAATGCAATCACTCTTGATAACCCCTTCTTGTGTGGGAAAGTCTACTAAGTAGTTCAGAAATTGTTATCTGTTTGTCATGTGCGTGGATATAAGGATTGGAACCATAAACATAATCTTGAACATGAAAAGATTTATAATTAGGTAATATGGATATTCTAAAAATTAACAGACTATTAAAAACTCATACTTTAAGGGAATTTCAAACTTATAAAGTATAATAATAAAGTTGAGAGTGGCACTGGGGAGACTGAGGCAGGATTGCTATGAGGCCAGCCTGGGCTACATAGTAAATTTCAGGCCTTCCTGAACTATATGGCAAGACCATGTGTCAAAAAATGTGCAATAATAGTAGAAATAATACCTATATACCTTTCACTCAAATTTACTTAATTTGCTACTTACAAATTTACTTTATTTTGCTACTTTTGCTTTCTCCCTATTGTAAGACCGAGGGCCTTACCAAACTCTCCGAGGAGGTGACTGCAGTGAAGAACACCGGGGAAGGAACACACCGGACAAGTTGGAAAGTAAAACAGACCTTAGTCTGGCCAGAGGGCACTCACAAAGCAAAGTAGTTTAGAGAGGCGACTAGCCCAGAGTACTAGGCTCTTTTTATAGGGGGTTGCAGGGGAAGTTAACAGGCGAAATTTACAGAAGAAGAACGAAGGTTAGTGGTCAGCTGACACGTACTGATGGTCAGCAGATGTTTGTAGATTGTTCTATAGATAGCGGTGTCCAGAACATCAGTTTCAAACAAAGAGTTGAGTAATTTACTTTGGGACCTTATGGCTGATACAGATCTTATCTAGTGTCCCGGAACTGACAAGCATCTTTATCTATTTACTCACATTCACAGTTGGGGCTAGGGGAGTTTTATGATTACAGAGTTATGCAGTCCCACACTATTTTTTCCCCAGAAGTTTCCTTATCACCAAAATCATGAGTTTTGGTGGTAATGGAGATTGAACCCAGTACCTTTTGTACCTAACTAGATCTTCAGCCCTTTTAAAAGTTTTTATGTTGAGACAAGGTCTTACTAAATTGCTAAATTGCCCAGGCTGGGATGGAACTTGTGATCCTCCTG